TAACTAAAATCGTATTTTGTTGTTCTTGTCAGCCTCCAAAGTTTTTCCATGTCATCCTTCATGCTTGTACTGGGATGCACCCACACACACACACACTTGTTCTTATTTAAATCCTCACACACACTTATATTGTAACACCTGCACCCAATCTCCCACTCTCTCCCTCTCTCCCCCTCTCCCATTTTCAATCTGCAGCCACCCCGCCGTCATCTTTATTACCATTCAAGTCACTGAAGTGTGATTCAATTTTTTTTGATTTCATAATGGCGACAACAACGATCCGAATGACACTGACAGTAGGCGACAACAGCAATAAAGGATACTCAAAGTGTCAATATCATCAGCAGCAGCAGCATCATCGTACGGCTGGCTACAAGTGCAAGGATGATGTCTCCCACTTTTTGTTGTTGCTTTTGTTTGTCGTCGTCGTAGTCGTCGTCGGCGTTTCTAATATTGACAAAAGATGATATCTCTTCTCGGGGTGCTGTTGTTGTCCATTGCTCATCGAAATCGTTGTAATGACATCGGCAAACGACATAATGACAAATGGTTGGACGGATGGATGGATGGATGGAATGCTATTGTTTTTGTTGTTGATTTGAATTCCAAGTATTGATGTTTGCTCATCGAATGGCATGGCATGGAATGCATTTTGCAATTCCCAATTATAATTACATAGAAATGTACATATGGATTTTACATATGCATACACACATATGATGAAATTGATCTGCATGGTCATCAGAGTTCTGGGAAGAATGGAAAAATTTCCTCTGTTTCTGGCTATTGAACAAATTTTTCCCCAATCGGGACCTAGCAAAGGAAGAATTTTTTTATTCTGAACTTCTCTAAAGATTGAAAGTTAAATAAGTTAAAAAGGAGTAAGTTCGGCCGGGCCGAATTTTGAATACCCTCCACCATTTGGAACGAATTTGGAAATTTTCAAAAAATAAAATCCGTCTAAAATTCTGTTATAATCTTAACCAGTAAAGAAAGTCCTAAAGTCGGGCGGGGCCGACTTTATGATACACTACACCACTTTGCTAATTTAGTAGAGCTCCGCATAACAAAAGTTTTATGGGAGAATTCAATCATGCACGCTATGATTATAATTATAATTTAAAGTTCAGAGGACTAAATATTCCGAACTTAAATTCGGACTTGTATTGCCCATTTGGTGCACAATTAATTTGAAATCGGGTAAAGATATATGTGGGAGCTATATCCAAATCTGAACCGATCTTGCTAAAATTTGGCAAAGATATTTCTGAGCTGTATTTCATATATTTCCCTGAATATCGTTGTTACGGAGTGCATATTACGGCTGTAGGTAACAAATATAACAAATCGGATGAAAAATATATATGTGGGAGCTATAGCTATATCTGAACCGATCTTCACCAAATTTGACATACTATCTTCTAGTTTCAATTCGGTCGTAAGTGTCAAATTCCATCAAATTTGGACAAATATTAGACATTTGGCGCACAATAAAAGGTGAATCGGACGAAGTTATATATGGGAGATATATCCAAATCCGAACCGATCTCGATAAAATTTAGCAAATGTATTTCTGAGCTGTATTTGATATATTTCCCCAAATATTGTTGTTACAGAGTGCATATTACGGCTGCGAAGGACTAAAATAACGAATCGGATGAACAATATATATTGGAGCTATAGGTATATCTGAACCGATTTCGATCAAATTTGGTATGTGCAAAATTCCATACAATTCGGGCTGACATTACACGTTTGGTGCACAATAAAAGGCAAATCGGACGAAGTTATATATGGGAGCTATATCTAAATTTTTACCGATTATCTCCAATTTCAATAGGTTTCGTCCTTGGGCCAAACAAATGACTTGTGCAAAATTTAATCTGGATTGAGTAATAAATGCGAACTGTACTTTGTTCACAAAAATACATGGACAGACGGACGGACATGCATAAATCGATTCAGAATGTGATTCTATGCAGATCATCAAAAGGAACTATGGGCCTATCTCGTCTCCTTTAGCCTGTTACAAACAAATGCGGAAGGACATAATACCCTGACTACTTTGTGGTGTAGGGTATAAAAATGTAAAAATTATTGCTTTTGACTTTGTTGTAGTTTTTTTATCTCACCCTGTATATCTAAAATGCACGGATTCCGAGGAAACTTAATGCGAAAAATTCCAAAAAAGTGGAAGAGGGGCTATGATGTCTCTTTATTTTGGTTACCTTCCGATGTGATTTTTTAAAAACCCCGAAACACGTGTCATCTTTTTTATACCCTCTACCATAGTATGGAGGGTATATTAAGTTTGTCATTCCGTTTGTAACACCTCGAAATATACATTTTAGACCTCACAAAGTATATACAGGTCACATCGCTTAATGAAATACCGCGTTTGAAGCGTCAGTCCAAGCAGATTTTTACCATGAACCAATACACGCCACGCGAGCGCTCTGAAATAGTTGAAATTTACATTCAACAGAAGAGGTCAATTGTGAAAACTCAATGTGCTTTTAAAACATTAAAAAATGTGAGAAGTGCGCCTTCTAAGAACACCATTAAGCGTTTATACGAAAAATTTTCGACTGGTAAGGCTCTTTCTAATCCGAAGAGGCCATATAAAAGTCGACCAAGGCGATCGGCCGAGAATATCGCTGCCGTACGAGCCAGTGTTGAGAGGTCCCCAAGAACATCCCAAAAACGCAGTTCTCAGCAGTTGGGCATGGCTCGGTCCACTTTACAACGGATTATTCGCATTGATTTGCATTTGTTCCCGTACAAAATTCAATTGACGTAAAGAATGTTGCCTGCGGACAAGCCTCGTCGATTGGAATGGGCCCAAAGGTCCGTCGAATATGGGCAACCCTGTATGTATTCTTGATCACTATAAAATTCTATGCCGATTTAGCAATGTCCAGCCGTCTGTCCGTCTATCCGTCTGTGGAAATCACTCTAGCTTCCGAACGAATTGAAATAGATTGATAAAATTATACTCAAATGTATATTAGGTCTGCAGGTACTTTTGGTATAGAAAACGGGCCATGTAGGTCCATGTCTTCGTATAGCCCCCATATAACGGTACCTCCCAATATTCGGTATTTTGATGATTTTAGCGACATTATTCACCGGAATTGTTTCAAATTTGTTATTTGAAGTTCGTAATATATACTACAGCCTTAGACAGAAAATTGTCTGCGTAGGTCCACGTCTTCGTATAGCCCCCATATAACGGTACCTCCCGATATTCGGTATTTTGATGATTTTAGCGACATTATTCATCGGAATCGTTTCAAATTTCGCATTTGAAGTTCGAAATGAATGCTACAGCCTAAGACAGAAAATTGCCTGTGCAGGTCCACGTCTTCGTAGAGCCCCCACATAACGGTACCTCCCTATATTCGGTATTTTGATGATTTTTGCGACAATATTTATCGGAATTGTGTCAATTTTGGTATTTGAAGTTCGGAATGGATGCTACAGCCTATGATAAAAAATTGTCTGTGTCAGTCCACGACTTTGATAAAATTTCGCACCCCATATAACGGTACCTCCCGATATGCGGTATTTTCATGTTTTTTGCGACATTATTCACCGGAATTGTTTCAAATTTGGTATTTGAAGTTCGAAATAAATATTACAGCCTATGACAGAAAATTGTCTGTGCAGGTCCACGTCTTCGTATAGCCCCCATATAACGGTACCCCCCGATATTTGGTATTTTGATGATTTTAGCGACATTATTCAACGGAATTCTTTCAAATTTAGTATTTGAAGTTTGAAATGAATACTACAGCCTAAGACAGAAAATTGCCTGTGCAGGTCCACGTCTTCGTAGAGCCCCCATATAACGGTACCTCCCAATATTCGGTATTTTGATGATTTTAGCGACATTATTCACAGGAATTGCTTCAAATTTGGTATTTGAAGTTCGAAATGGATGCTACAGCCAAAGACAGAAAATTGTCTGTGCAGGTCCTTGTCTTCGTATAGCCCCCATATAACGGTACCTCCCGATATTCGGTATTTTGATGATTTTTTGATTTGATTATTTACCGAAATTATTTCAAATTTTGTATTTGAAATTCGTAATGGATACTACAGCCTATGACAGAAAATTGTTGATGTAGGTCCACGTCTTCGTATAGCCCTTATATAAGGGTAGATCCGGATATTCGGTTCTTTGTTGGTTTTAGCGACATTACTAAGCGGAATTCTTTCAAATTTAGTATTTGATGTTTGAAATGGATGCTACAGCCTATGACAGAAAATTGTCTGTGTAGGTCCACGTCTTCGTATAGCCTCCATATAACGGCACCTCCCGATATTCGGTATTTTGATGATTTTAGCGACATTATTCACCGGAATCGTTTCAAATTTGGTATTTGAAGTTCGAAATGGATGCTACAGCCTAAGACAGAAAATTGTCTGTGCAGGACCACGTCTTCGTATAGCCCCCATACCGTTAGTACCTCCGGATATTCGGTATTTTGATGATTTCAGCGACATTATTTACCGGAATTGCTTCAAATTTGTTATTTGAAGTTCGTAATGAATACTACAGCCTTAGACAGAAAATTGTCTGTGCAGATTTTAACATAATTTTAATGGATTTTATTGTTTTTGATAATTGCCAAATTCGTTTGAAATGGTGGAGGGTATTCAAAGTTCGGCCCGGCCGAATTTAAAGCTTTTTTATTTGTTTAAGCTCTACTTTCATAATCTGCTGGATTTTCCCCTGTAATTATTTTTTTCTGTTACACAGTGTTATATAAGTCTGCAATTTAACCCATCCCAAATCCGATATTTCAACCTACTCCCATCTCGATTTCTGTCCACACTTTATCTGTTTACTTTATCATGTTCAAACATGCATACAACATACATATGTTTCATATCCAAATGACTTCCTTTAACATTTGTCATTTGTTTTTCATGTTTTCCATCAAAAAATTTCATTTTCTTTGTCTCTCTCTCTCTCTCTCTCTCTCTCGTTGCAGGAACAGCCAACGTTGCCTCAAGTTACGAGCTTTTTGATGCCATGAAGAAGTTGGATGCATCTGCAAGATAATGCCATCGACATTTATGATGCCAATGCCCATGGTGATGATGATGCAGATGCTGATGACGACGACGACGATGATGATAATGAAGTTTGTGATGTTGATGACGCCAACAGCTGTTATTTATAGCAAACGGAAATAATTGCAAGAGTAGTTAGTTTAGTAACAAAAAAAAACAAAATAGCAACAAAAACAACAACACTAAAATTTAGTAGGAATATTGCAATTTTGAAAAAAAACAACAACAACACACATACACATAAAATAATAAAAATCCATACGAAACGGAGAAGAGAACAAACGAACGTACGACCGGCCAACCAAGCACTTCACCCCACCCCAAAAACAAGTAATTCAGATTCATCGGGAAGGATACAAGCTACTAACTACTGTACATACATTTAGTAGAGCAACAGCAACAACACAAACAACAACAACAACTATAAAAAATCAATCAACCCAAAACCGAAAAAAAGGCAAACAAAATCAAATTTACTCACTCCGATAACCCGGGGAACAGCAGCAGCTAAGCAAGCCAACCATTGGAAGTCCTTCAAAGTCCTCCACCACTCACACGTACACACCCACTCACAGCGTGCCGCATACACACATCCAATACAGCAACATCGTCAAATATTAAACCGGAGAGAAACATCGCTGAATAATGCATCTCCATTTCGAGCGCAACACAAATACAAAATGCGACTGCACAATTTTATCGCTCTCGTGGATGGGGAAAGTTCCCGACGATATACCAGAGGTAAGTTTCCAATAAAAAACAACTTTTAATACAATTTGTTGTTGACGTCAAAAAAAGAAATTGATATTTTATTACTGAATTCAGGAATGTATGTGCAGGTATATTGGATCGGAGTTTCCACATTTTTTCTGCGTTTAGACAAGACAAATTCGGTCTGTTCCAGAACTGCAAGAATGTGCAAGTTTTTATACCCTCCACCATAGTCTGGAGGGTATATTAAGTTTGTCATTCTGTTTGTAACACCTTGAAATAAACATTTTAGACCCCACAAAGTATATATATTCTTGATCAGCATAAAATTCTATGTCGATTTAGCTTCCGTCTATCCGTCTGTCCGTCTGTGGAAATCACTCTAGCTTCCGAACGAATTGAAGTAGATTGATAAAATTTTACTCAAATGTATGTTATGTTTGCAGGACTTTTGGTATTGAAAATGGGCCATGTAGGTCCACGTTTTGGAATAGCCCCCTATAACTGTACCTCACGATATTCGGTATTATGATGATTTTAACGGCATAATTCACCGGAATAGTTTCAAATTTGGTATTTGAAGTTCGTAATGGATGCTACAGCCTAAGACAGAAAATTGTCTGGGCAGGACCAGGTCTTCGTATAGCCCCCATATAACGGTACCTCCCAAAATTCGGTATTTTGATGATTTTAGCGAATTTCTTCACCGGAATTGTTTCAAATTTCGTATTTGAAGTTCCAAAGGGATACTACAGCCTAAGTCAGAAAATTGACTGTGCAGGTCCACGTCTTCGTATAGCACCCATATAATTTACCTCCCGATATTCGGTATTTTGATGATTTTAGCGACATTATTCACCGGAATTGTTTAAAATTGGGTATTTGAGATTCGTAATGGATACTACAATCTATGACAGAAAATTTTCGTTGCAGGTCCACGTCTTCGTATAGCCCCCATATAACGCCCGTATACAACTATTGTGTCTGGAGTATTTTGGAAAGCAAGGTTGGCACTAAAAAATACCAAAGTGTCGATCACCTCAATCAAGCGCTTCGCCGGGAATGGGCCAAAATACCACAGAGCAACATTCGGGCAGCGTTTGAAGGCCATAATTCATGCCAAAGGTGACCAATTCGAAGAAATCTAAACTTATTCTAAAATTTGATGCTATTTCCGACATTACTGGAAATAAAGCCACGGTCGATTAAAACAAGCGGAGAGCGACCATCGGCTGTTATAGCGGCCCACACCATGGCCGGCGCTTGAGTTCTGGTGGCCAACCGAAGGTGCACATTTTCAGCTGACCTCTTTGGCAAGTAAACACGACCATTTTGTTTATTTACAAACTGCTGGACAACGAATGTTTTCTCATCGGAGACGGAGAAAAGCAAATTCGGCAGTTCACCACTTTTGTCCAAGCAAAGCAACTCTTTAGCTCTTTTGAGTCTATTTTCTTCCCGTTGCTTGCACTTTTTGAAATTTCAATGGCTTTACCCCGAGCTCATTTTTTAATATTTGCCGAATGGAATATTGTGATATATTCAGCTCACGACCCATTTTTCGACCACTGCGACGCTGCTTTCGATCAAGTCGCTTCTTTACTTTTCGAACCATATCTGCTGATGTTGCTGTTTTCTTCTGTACCCGTATCACGGTAACGAGCAACGACATTTAAATGCTGGAGTGCTGTAACAACAGCCACTTGTTGTTTTCCAGCCAAATATAAGGGAATCACACTATCACCCTTGAATTCTATCACGAATAACTTCTTTTTCTGGAAAATTCTCACCAAAATGCGTTTGTACGCTTGTAAACCATATAATGAGATGTCACTGGAATAATTTTAGCAGCTGTCGGACGAGTGGCTTAGAAATGACAACAGTCTGAAGTTGGTTCAGGTTTTTCCATCTCACCCAGTAGACATTCCAGTCGGTCTTTACATCTTATTCATCTCCGGCAATATTACAATAATTGGTATTATATAATACATATAGAAAGAACTGCTAAGCCTATCCCCTCTTGCAAAATAACAAGATTGAAGCTTCAGTCGTTCGGTTGAGTCCCTCAGTCACCTAATAAGTCAGTACGTCATCTTCAACCACCTAATTGATACAACTCGATTACAACCACAAGCGACAGTTTATAATAAATATTATATTTATGTTAAATACATAACAAACTTGTCGTATACATATGGACATTTTAATATATTAATCTAACGCACACACACACACTTACAAATCATTAGGCTACTACAAATACATTTACATAAATAAATAGCATAAATACTTAAGAAATACAATCGTAAGTCATATTCCATTTCATTCGAACTGGAAGATGTGACTGCCAGACAATCCAAACGACAAACAAGCAAATGATGCTGCTGCTGCTGATGATGATGTCGTCCTTGTGTCTTCTGACTTTTCAATTGGCAAACATTTGCTATCCGCTAAGCCCGTAAGGCAGCTCCAATCATTACAGCTGTCAAAGACATCAACCACCAGTTAGAAGAAATGCCAACTTGGGCGCCATCATCCGCTGCCAAGCCATGGAAATGGACTCGGGTACGTCGCTTTGCTGTCAGTGACAGTTGCAGATGAACATCCTCGACATCGTCTAAAATGTGGTTGTTGTTGTTGCCATTGCCGTTGCTGTTGGTGACCACGTCACTATTCAAATAGGATTTGAAATCAACAGGTTTGTCATTTGGCTCGAAGCCATAGACATGCATTTGAACGAAGAGACTGGTCGTGTGCGGGTCGGTGACAATTGCCTTTAGGCTGTGCGCTGATATTTTCTCGAATTCAACGTGAGGCGTTTCCGAGGTGAGGGGATGTTCCAAATAGTGCTGCAGACGGTAAATTGTTGGCAAATTGTTGGAAGAAAATAGAAGAAGAAGAAAAGGGAAAGAGAAAAAAAAAATTGACCATGAATGGCAGGGCGTGAAATTGAGGTTAGTGCGCTCTAAATGGCGTTGGCGATTTAGTTAAAATGGCAGTCGCTGTTGGCTCATAATGGTGGTCAATGGGTTGTTACCAATGGACTGTGGAGTGTTTCTAGCAGAACCACTTTTTATGGACTTTTGCCAGAAGAAGATTGGTTATGGTCTTCTCAAAGAAGGCCACTAGAGGTCCCGGACGTAAGGCCACCTATGGTTCTCTCAGACAAAGATAGCTTTGATTCATCGATGGTCGTTTTTCGGAAGATTATCTGTAATACTACATCTGCTTTCTCTCAGAAGATCGACTGTGGTCTTCTAACGGAGGACCGGGAGACCAGCAATGCTCCTCTCAGGGATGGCCACTTCTGGTTACCCACAGAAGACACTGTATGTCATTATTATTTTTCAGAAGACTATCCATGGTCTTCTCTCACAAAACTACCTATGTTCTTCTCTCAGAGGACCATCAAAGGTTTACTTTCAGAAGACCATCAAAGGCTTTCTTTCAGAAGACCAAGTCGCTGTTGGCTCATAATGGTGGTCAATGGGTTGTTGCAAATGGGTTGTGGGGGTGTCTGAGAGAACAACTTTTAATGGATTTTTGCAAGAAGAAGATCGATTATGATCTTCTCGAAGAAGGCCACTAGAGGTCTCGGACGTGAGGCCACCTATGGTTTTCTCAGAAAAAGATAGCTTTGATTCATCGATGGTCGTTTCTCGGAAGATCATCTGTAATACTACGTCTGGTTTCTCAAAGAAGACCGACTGTGGCCTTCTAACAGAGGACCGGGAGACCAACAATGCTCTTCTCAGAGATGGCCACTTCTGGTTACCCACAGAAGACACTGTATGTCATTATTATTTTTCAGAAGACTATCCATGGTCTTCTCTCACAAAACTACCTATGGTCTTCTCTCAGAGGACCATCAAAGGCTTTCTTTCAGAAGACCAAGTCGCTGTTGGCTCATAATGGTGGTCAATGGGTTGTTACAAGTAGTTTGTGGGGGTGTCTGAGAGAACAACTTTTGATGGAATTTTACAAGAAGAAGGTCGGTTATGGTCTTCTGGAAGAAGGCCGCTGGAGGTCTCGGACGTGAGGACACCCATCATTTTCTCAGAGAAAGATATATTGATTCATCGAGAGAAGGCCACTTCTGGTTACCCACAGAAGACACTGTATGTCATTATTTTTTTCAGAAGACTATCCATGGTCTTCTCTCACAAAACTACCTAAGGTCTTCTCTTAGAAGAACACCAAAGGTTTTCTTTCAGAAGACCATCAAAGGCTTTCTTTCAGAAGACCAAGTCGCTGTTGGCTCATAAGGGTGGTCAATGGGTTGTGGGGGTGTCTGAGAGAACAACTTTTGATGGAATTTTGCAAGAAGAAGTTCGGTTATGGTCTTCTGAAAGAAGGCCACTGGAGGTCCCGGACGTGAGGACACCTATGATTTTCTCAGAGAAAGATAGCTTTGATTCATCGATGGTCGTTTCTCGGAAGATCATCTGTAATACTACATCTGGTTTCTCTAAGAAGGCCGACTGTGGTCTTCTAACGGAGGACCGGGAGACCAGCAATGCTCTTCTTCAGAGAAGGCCACATTTGGTCTTCTCTCAGAAGACCACCAATGTCTTCTGTCAGAAGACCACCTGTCTTCTCTCAGAATGGGTCGTGGTCGTCTAAGAGAACACTATAAGTGGTTTCCTAAGAGAAGACCACCTATGGTCTTCTCTCAGAAGACCGAATGTCATCTCTAAGAGAAGACCACCAAAGGTCTTCTCTCAGAAGACCACCTAAGGTCTTCTCTTAGGAGACCACTTATAGTGTTTTATTAGAAGGCCAACTCTTCTCTTAAAATACCAAATGTCGTGTTCCAAGAGACCATCTATGGTCTTCTCTTAGGAAACCACTCATAGTCTTCTCTTAGAAGTCTATCTATCATCTTCCAAGAGAAGACCACCTATGATCTTCTCCCAGAAGACCAACTATGGACTTCTCTTAAAAGACCAACTTTAATCTTCCAAGAGAATACCACCTACGATCTTATCCTAGAAGACTACCTATGGTCTTCTCTTAGAAGACAACCTATCGTCTTTTCTCAGAAGACCACATATGGTCTTCTCTTAGGAGACCACTTATAGTGTTCTCTTATAAGACCATCTATGGTCTTTTCTTAAAAGACCAACTATCACCTTCTCCCCGAAGACCACATATGGCCTTCTTTCAGATTTTTCTCCTCTCAGAAGACCATCTATGGTTTTCCAACAGAAGTTCTACTCACATCAATGATTAAAAATTCCACACAGGTGACGAAACTGCTGTCAATGAAATAAAACACCACAGTGTGATTGGTCGGCTCCTTGGTTATATCCGGTGATGATTGATCTGCCTGATACAACAAATAATCACCTGAAATTTTGCAAAAGAATAACTCTCATGAGTAACTCCCACATTCTCCAGCCTTTTCACAAAATGTTCCTCACCTTCTTGCCTCTCTCCCAATTGGATAACTTTATTCGTATTCGCACTGAAGAGATACTCGTCCGAATCATTTTCAGTATTCGAATGATTTTCAATATCATCGGGTATTATATCCCCGTTCTCATCCACATATTCTTCATCGGAATTTTCCAGCGCTCGCATATCTTCATGCATTAGATTTAGGGTCTCTTCGGCGGCCAGTTTTATTGGTTCATTTGATTTCAATAGATCTTCTAGATTTTGTCCACGATTTAGGATGTAACGCGGATGGACATTGCGTGGAATTTTCTTATAACCATAAATTTGTATGAGAACCTCAAATGGATCGTGGTTTCTTTCTGACATTTCTGCATCGTTGGTGATGTTCGGTAGCACTCGACGTATGGTTCCATTTATTAGATCCGTTTCATAGCTCATATCGACATTGACAGCAATTTCCTGAAGGAGAATGAAGTAAAATGGTGTTAAAGGGGAGTTATATATGGAATTTCGTTTTTATACCCTACACTACACTGTGGTACAGGACTCCAGATGTCCTGAAACGGATTTGATTCAAAGACACCTAGGGTCTAAAACCATTACTTCGATGAGGCACGTTTTGGCCGTATCAAATTATATATACCCTTTCTAGCTATATGGCTGAGGGTATAAAATGTTGTTGGAGTTTGTAGGTAATTTTTGCCGGGGGGTAATACGTAGGTTTCGGAAAGAGCCACTAGTTCTCATTATTTCCCTCGTTATACCCTACACCCCAAGGTGGTCAGGGTATTATGTCTTTGTGCATTTGTTTGTAACAGGCAAAAGGAAACGAGATAGACCCATAGTTCCTTTTGATGATCTGCATAGAATCACATTCTGAGTCGATTTATGCATGTCAGTCCGTCCGGGCGTCTGTCCATCCGTCCGTCTGCCCATGTATTTTTCTGAACAAAGTACATTTCGCATTTATTACCCGATCCAGGTGAAATTTTGCACAAATCATTTGCTTGACCCAAGGACAAACCCTATTGAAATTGGAGATAATCGGTAAAAATTTAGATATAGCTCCCATATATAACTTCGTCCGATTTGCCTTTTATTGTGCACCAAACGTGTAATATCAGCCCGAATAGTACGGAATATTGCACATACAACCAAATTAGGCCTAAAAATAAGTATGCCAAATATGATCGAAATCGGTTCAGATATAGCTATAGCTCCCATATATATTGTTCATCCGATTTGTTATTTTTGTCCTCCGCAACCGTAATATGCACTCTGTAACAACAATATTTGGGGAAATATCTCAAATACAGCTCAGAAATACTTTTGTTAAATTTTATCGAGATCGGTTCAGATTTGGATATATCTCCCATATATAACTTCGTCCGATTTACCTTTTTGTTGTGCACCAAACGTCTAATATTTGTCCAAATGGGATGAAATTTGGCACTTACGACCGAATTGAGTCTAGAAGCTAGTTTGTCAAATTTGGTGAAGATCGGTTCAGATATAGCTATAGCTCCCATATATATTCTTCATCCGATTTGTTACCCACAGCCGTAATATGCACCCCGTAACAATGATTTTCAGGGAAATATATAAAATACAGCTCAGAAATATCTTTACCAAATGTTATCAAGATCGGTTCAGATTTGGATATAGCTCCCATATATAACTTCGTCCGATTTACCTTTTATTGTGCACCAAACGTCTAATATCGGCTCAAATGGAATGGAATTTGGCACTTACGACCGAATTGAGTCTAGAAGCTAGTATGTCAAATTTGGTGAAGATCGGTTCAGATATAGCTATAGCTCCCATATATATTTTGTTCATCCGATTTGTTATATTTGTTACTCACAGCCGTAATATGCACTTCGTAACAACAATATTTGGGGAAATATATCAAATACAGCTCAGAAATACCTTTGCTAAATTTTATCGAGATCGGTTCAGATTTGGATATATCTCCCATATATAACTTCGTCCGATTTACCTTTTATTGTGCACCAAACGTTTAATGTTTACCCAAATGGGATGAAATTTGGCACTTACGAACGAATTGAGTCTAGAAGCTAGTATGCCAAATTTGATCGAAATCGGTTCAGATATAGCTATAGCTCCCATATATATTGTTCATCCGAATTGTTATATTTATTACCCACAGCCGTAATATGCACCCCGTAACAATGATATTCAGGGAAATATATGAAATACAGCTCAGAAATATCTTTGCCCCGCCCGACTTTAAGACTTTCTTTACTGGTTTTTTGTCTGGGATATTCTCCCCAAGAAATCTCGAATAACAACTCAAATATTTCGAATTACATTTGAAAAACTAGTAGTACTTGAAATTTCCCAACCCCTTGTCCACAGAGCAATTTCCCACCCCCTCCAGACAATTCAAAACTTACCTCATCGGAAATCATTTCGATGTATGTAATTGGCTCCGGTATGTCATAATTGAAGGTAATGACAGTCTCCTTGGTCAGGGCGATGAATGGCGTTCGGAGAATGTCTTTCATCAGCAATTGATCGCCCAAGATGCGGGCTCCTATACCAAAGACCGATGCATTGGCCACTTGAGGGCCAAGTGAAAACAAGACGGCATAAAACGACAGCAACAACAACAACGAGTTGGCGGCAAAAAATGAAGGAGAAGACTTCATTATTATGTTTCGGCAATAATGATGATGATAACGGTGATGGGGAGGGAGATAATTAAAATAATTTTCCGCTAGACGAAATGAAAGAGAGAGAGAGGGATTTTCTTAATTCACTTAAACACCAAAAAAACAACACCGATTGTTTGGATATTCTCTTAATTTTTTTTTTGTGATTTTTTTTGTTTATGATTCCGCAATCCGCATCTGTCAGTCGATATGTTTGTCTATCTTCGCATTAAGCAAATTATTATTAAAAAAATACATGAATTTTTATGCGGTGAAGAAATTTGTATTTTTTTTTTTTTTTGTTTTTTTTTTTTGAAACAAAATTTCTAAAATACCGCAAAGAAAATCCCCAAGCACTCGCAACGAAAACGGCGCACGTCAAAATTTGTTTTTTTTTGTTCTTGGTATTCCGGCGAAAATTTGAACGTGAATTTTATTGAAACATTTGTTGTTTGAATGTTTCGCGAGAACTGATTTTGAAAAGGTCTAGCAAATCTTTAAGAAGGCCAGCACGGCACAGCAAACAAATTCGTAAACGAAACAATAGCCATAGCCGGTGGGCTCCGAGCTGTAGGTGGTGGTGGAGCTGGTGATGTTTAGCCGATCATTGCTCTTTGGAAAGAGAGAACTAAATCGAACTGTATGTTTGTATGCAAATTGTTTGCTCGACATGCTCACGTTTTGAGAAACAACAAAAAAAAAAACAAAAGCGAAAAATATGCGAGTGCCGAAATGCATCCTTATGAAAATGTTGTATTAATTAGGTTTTTTGAGAATTTTCCTAGAGATGAAATGGATAAACCAAAAACGACTGAGGCTGTTCGTGGAATACCCTATAACACTTCGTTAAAATAATAACTAAGCTATAACAAGTTAAAAAGCAGTAAGTTCGGACGGGCCGAACTTTGAATACCCTCCACCATTTGGGACGAATTAGAAAATTTTCAAAAAAAAAAAAAATCCATTTAAAATTCTTTTAAAATCTTTAATATATCTAATATAGGAAGGTGCCGATATGGGGGGTATATGATATTGTGGACCTATAAAGACAAATCTATGTCTGCGTGTAAAGTACTTACAAGGAACTCCTTGTGTGGATTTTCAAAATATTGAATATCGCGGGGTATCGTTATATGGGAGCTATACGTTATCGTTAACCTATGTAGAGAATTCTCTGTCGGGGGGTAAAGTGCTCACAAAGAACCCCTTGTGTACAAAGAATACCTTGTGACCATTCCGTTGAGAAATATGGCTAAAAACATCAAAATACCCAATATCGGGGGTACCGTCATATGAGGGCTATACGATATCGGGGACCTATATAGATAATTCTCTGCCGAGGTATAAAGTACCCACAAGGAACTCCTTGTGTGGACAATTCCGATGAAAAATGTGGGTAAAATCATCAAAATACCGAATATCGGGGGGTACCGTTATATGGGGGATATACGATATCGTGGACCTGTATAGACAATTCTCTCTCAGGGGGTGAAGTACTCACAAGGAACTACTTGTGGGGATTTTAAGACAATTCCATTGAAAAGTGCGGCTAACATCATCAAAATACCGAATATCGGGGGGTACAGTTATATGGGGGATATACGATATCGTGGACATGTATAGACAATTCATTTTGAGGGGGTAAAATGCCCACAAGGTACTCCTCTAGTGGATTTTAAGACAGTTCCATTGAAAAATGTGGCTAGCAACATCAAAATACCGAATATCGGTTGGTACAGTTATATGGGGGATATACGATATCGTGGACCTATATAGACAATTCCTTTTTAAGGTGGTAAAATGTGCAAAAGGGACTCCTTTTGTGGAATTTCAGACAATTCCATTGAAAAATGTGGCTAAAATCATCAAAATACCGAATACCGTGGGGGTACCGTTATATGGGGGCTATACGATATTGTGGACCTATATAGATAATTCTCTGCCGAGGTATAAAGTACCCACAAAGAACTACTTGTGTGGATTTTCAGACAATTCCATTGAAAAATGTGGATAAAATCATTAAAAGTACCGAATATCGGGGGTACCGTTATATCGTGGACCGATATAGCTCATCTTCGAACTTGACCTGCCTGCAGACAAAAGACAGACCTGTGCAAAATTTTAGCTTCCTATCTTAATTCGTTTAGACTGTATAGTGATTACAACAGACGGACAGACGGACGGACAGGGCTAAATCGTCTTAGAATTTTACGCTGATCAAAATGATTATTTCGATGAGTTACAAACGGAATGACGAACTTAATATACCCTCCATACTTTTTTGGTGGAGGGTATAAAAAGGTGAAAATTTGTTAAACATAGATAGGATATACATATCTAGTACTTGACCATATAAATTACACTGGGCAGCATAAAAATTTTTTGCTGGGAAAATCCTGCAGATTATGAAAAAGGAGCTAAAAATACAAGACAAGTGTATCGGCATTTTGAAAGTTTACGTTGCAAAGTAACCTAAACACAGAGGGACAAGTTCCCCCCCGGGAAAAATAAGATTCCTCGGAATCTATTGGTTTTAGGTATATAGTGTTTTCGGCAATATAATAGATAACAATACGAGGATTATTTGGGTCGACAATCTTAACCCTCAAGCGAGTCACAAAATGGGTCTTTTTAGGCGTTTTTTTAAATATGCTTAAAAACTCCTCTTAAACGGGATAGTAGCAATTCAAAATATTCCACAAAATTATTTGTCATAAAATTCTACTATATGTCCCAGAAGACAGCATGAGTCTAAAACTTACCTTAACGCCAGGAAATCATTTATATTTTTAAAGCACATTTTAGGGTTAAAACCGTACTTGATGTGAATTTATGCCAAATTCTGTTACACAGGAGAATCATTCATTTTAGAAAGATAACGCCAGAGACAAAATTATTCTCCATCAAATTTTACTATAAGTTGCTAAGAAGAGAATTCGCTATTTTCATTATATATCAGGAAAATATATACATCAATGTTTCCAAAAAAAAAAAATCCCTAATTTCTTTGATAAACTTTTGCTCGGACTTTTTTCGAGTTGACGCCTGAAAATAACATAAAATGCCATTTTAGACATAAGATGTCAAAGGAAGAAATATTCTACACAAAATTTCAATATAAATCTTAAAATAAACTATATATCTAGGTGCAATAGTTTTTACTGAAAATTATATTCAAAATGTATGTAAAGTTTTTGCGTTTAAGGCCGTACTTTTTGTGAGTTTGTGCAAAAATCTCGAAAAAAAGCATTATTTTAGAAGGGTGACAACAGGGACAAAAATATTTATAGTTTTACTAACACAAGATCTGCTGTGAATATGGGACATATCTGTCCACTCCTTTTGGTACCTCTCTCACAAAGGATTACAATTTTTGAAAATTCGAAATGGACAACATTGGCTCTTTGGATAATCATAATGCAAGTCAAAATATATTTAAATAAACGGATAGTGGCTGAGGGTATACATCTGTCGGTAGAACCGATTCATCAGCGCCCAGATGAACTGCTAAAGCTAATATCATGAATTTTTGGTTGAAGTTCATTCTTGGTCTGAAGGTGTCAGAAAAGGCAGGATTTTTAGAAATTCTTACTAAAACGGTACGAGAAATTCTTACTAAATATGGTACCCTTTGTATTTGAAGAACCAGTAGAGCTAGAACTCAATCTTTGGATTGAGGCACACTGATGGATGGAGTGTATAGTGGATGGAATTTGGCATATGAGTCAAGGTTAAGTTGAGTAGGAAGGTAGTTTGGGAAGTGAGTACTCATGCATACGAAAAGTACCAAATGGTACTGAATTTGGTACAATTACAATTTCGACAAACGGGTGGAAATGGAATCCTGAAATTTGGAGGATCCTGGTGGAGAGTAGGATTTGGATATGTAGTTTTCGAATTTTGTACTTATGTGCACGAAATGTACTAAATGGTACGAAATTTGCTACAATTTCGATTTGGGTGAAGCAATAGAGGTGGTATCCTGAAAATTGGAAATGATATTTCTATTGGACTGTATGATGTTGGCAGTTATGAAAATTTGTACTTAAGTGTACTAAATGGTACTAAATTTGGTACAATTTGGATTTTAGTGAACCCATAGAGTTGGAGTTGGCATAGGAGTTAAGGTTAAGTTGGGTAGGGTCAACGTAGGGAGGTAGTTTGGGATGTGTGTACTCATTCCGTTTGTAACATCCCTAAATATTCACCGTAGACCCCATAATGTATATAAATATATATTCATAATCAACATAAAATTCTAAGTCGATTTAACAATGTCCGTCTGTCCGTCTGCTTGTCTGTCTGTCCGTCTGTCTGTTGAAATCACGATACAGGCCACATTATTTGACATAGACCGTCAAAATTTAGCAGAATAATTTGTATTGTGTCTAAGATGGTTGGTATTGAAAATGAGATATATCGGTCCACGTTTTGGTATAGCCCCCATATAACGGTACCTCCCGATGTTCAGTATTTTGATGATTTATGCCACATTTTTTCACGGATTTGTCTGAAAATTGGTAGTTGTAGGTCATAACGGGTCCCTGTACGTGTGGCAAAACATTGCATGTATAGGTCCACGTTTTGGTATAGCCCCCATATAACGGTACCTCCCGATATTCGGTAATTTGATGATTTTTGCCACATTTTTTCACGTATTTGTCTGAAATTTGGTATTTGTAGGTCATAATGGGTTCTAGCTCCATTGGCGAAACATTGTATGCATAGTTCTACGCTTTGGTATAGCCCCCATATAACGGTATCTCCCGATATTCGGTATTTTGATTGTTTTTGTCACATTTTTTCACGGATTTGTCTAAAAATTGGAATTTGTTGGTCACAAAAAGGTTCTAGATCCGTTGGCGAAACATTGTATGTATAGGTCCACGTTTTTGTATAGCCCTATATAGCGGTACCTCCCGATATTCGGTATTTTGATGATTTTTTGCACCAATTTCCCACGACTATGTCTAAAAATTGGTATTTGTGGGTCATAATTGGTTCTGATATTTCCATTGCCCTAAGGTGGAGGGTATTAAAAGTTCGGCCCAGCCGAAATTAATGTTTTTTTTTACTTGTTTTTTTAAATTTTATTGTATGAAAGCAACAAATGTCGAAAATAGCATCAGAGTTTAGAATAAGTTTAGATTTGTTCGAATTGGTCACCTTTGGCACGAATTATGGCCTTCAAACGGCCAATGAAACCGTCACACGCTGCCCCAATGTTGCTCTGCAGTATTTTGGCCCATTCCCGGCG